ATAAAATCATGCGGGAATTTAAAAAAACTAGCTAATTAGCCAGCTAGCTAGCCAATTCCACCATTCTTTAATGCTACAGTGGCTACAGGAAAATGGTGGAATTAGAAAGCTAGCTAGCTAGCGAGCTGTCAGCTAGTTGGTTAGCTAGCGAGCTAGCCGCTTTGACCATCCTGCCACGTTGATGTGAACGTCAGTTTATCAGTTTGTTATCGACTGTCTCACCGATCTTTCTGTTATTGTTGTTATTGTCTTGTTTTTCTTGCTTTGTGTGTCAAAGCACTTTGTAAACTGTTTTTAAAGGTGCTATAACTGAAGTGATTGTTATTATTAACACTTTAGTGCATATGAAGCCTCAAACACACGCTCCTGCTTACCGTCCTTGTACCTGCAGCACCAGGTTAAAGCCGTATGAGTCCAGGTGACACGGCGTGTTGGCTCCTCCTGTTCCGACCCATAATGTGCTCGCTCTCCCGTCACGGCCCTCAAAACCAAAGTCAGACCACTTCACCTCCTGCACACACAAACACAACACAACACACACACGATCATTATGGAAGCACCTTTACCACAGCAAAAAAAAATAAATAGTTAGACTTGATAATAAAAATATCCCCATAGTAAAAAGAAATTATGAGATAGAAAGTCATTATGACTCATAATTTCAACTGACCATGAGGAAGTCTAACTTTTCATTTTTTTTTGCTGTCAGAAATGGGCTTCCATAAATAATAGACCCCAAATAATGTAAAAAAGGAAGAAACGTGTGACTGAACAGTTCTTTGTCCGACATGCTGCTTTGACAGGACCCATTGAACCAGTAGACGTCTCCAGCGACAGTGTTTGTGTCTGAGGAGGAGCTGTCAATCACAGAGGTGCAGCTATCAGGAATAATGAGGTCATTACCGAACACGCAGACAGCTGTAAGTGACAGACGGGTCAATCGAGGTTCCTCCCGGCCTCCATTCATCCTGCCCACCGTCTCTAAGGCACCAAAGTCAGCTGGAATAATTGCCCCAATAACAATGTATGGCCGAGATAAAAGAAGAAAAGAAATGAATGTGTGTGGCAGTGTGTTTGGAGAAAGGATGGAGCTTTAATGTCTTCACCCATCGAGAGGACAAGAACAGAGAATATAAAGTCCTTACGAGCAGAAAGCTCAACGGTTTAACTGAAAAATGTCACAACAAAGAAAATAACCGAGAACGTTGGACAAAAAAAAGAGACTAAAATAAGAATATTTAATGTTTAGTTTGTTGATAAGACGATTAGAAGCTGAAACATATTCTTATAATTAAACTTTAAAGGAAGCAGCTCTGAAACTGGTTTATTGTCATCTTAAAGAAGATGTACACTGTAAACACTGAAACTAAAAATGCTGAAATACATTTTTTTTTTTTTTATATATATATAGAGATAGAGATAGAGATAGAGATAGAGATAGAGATAGAGAGATAGAGAGATAGAGAGATAGAGAGATAGAGAGATATAGATAGATAGATAGATAGATAGATAGATAGATAGATAGATAGATAGATATATATATATATATATATATATATATACACATATATATACATATATATATATATATATATATATATATACACACATACATACATACACACACACACACTATGAAGAAAATAACCCTCTATGGGCTACAGAGCTTTCATGCTGTTTGTGAGGAAGCTGAATTAATATAAATGTATTTATCATGCAGCACGATCACAATAAGAAGAAAGAAGATCTTAAGAAGCGGTTCTCTGGATTATCCTCCGTAGTTCACAGCTTTCATCAAGTCCTCTCTAAACCTAACGTCCTCTCACTGCTTATTAATCCGCCTGTGGCTTCATTCTATTCTTTTATTGTATTAATTTAAGCATTATTGGCCTTTATGTCTTTAACTATGAATATTTGTAATGAGGGAGATCATAACCCAACTCCTGCTGTTTTTAATGAGCTATTTAAATAAACAGATTTGACGTCAGATGTTAAGCTTTCTTTATCACAGACACATTTATTTAAAACACGATGCCATGACTTTAATGTTTCCGTGATTAAACTACGCATAACTGTGTGCAGTGAGATAACGGACCCGACATCGTCACAGTTCATATGAACGCAGGAGGCCGGTTACCTCAAACATGGAGGGCCGGTCTTCAAACAGCATTGCGATGTACTTGTAGTCGGCGTAGGCCCAGTAGTCTGAGTTTGGGTATTCACAGAAAGGCCCCACATGAAGAGGTCCGGTCTGGTCCCGGGTCCAGCTGAGAAAGTCCTCCAGTCGGGCCTCCACGTAGGAACACTGGGTTTCAAACAGAGGGGCTGCAGAGAGCCAGAAAGAGTTTGTGTGAAACAATATTCTTAAAATAAATACAAAATATACAATTCATGAAGCAGAATCGCAGCACGATGCGTCATCGCAGAGGCATGAAATTTGACTTCACTCCCTTGTATGAGAGAGCGACTCCCTGTTTGTCTTTAGTAAACAAAGTGTGTCTGCGGGTGATTGATGGCATTTATAATCCCTCGTGAGCGATGCCCCGCTGTCAGAAAACGTGATTTAGAAATGTAATTATCAGAGGACACACTCTCCGTGATCCATCACAGGAGGACTCGTTACCCGAGTTTCTTTCACAGCCACGAGGACGCAAAGAAAAGAGCACAGCAGACGCTTCTGTGACGTTTAAAATCAGGATCGATACACAGCGATCAGGAGCTCATCAACTTAAAATATACTGAAACTGATCAATGATTCAGGACGTTTTGGACGGAGATGAAGATGGTTTGATTGCTTATAGGAGACTCTTTCTGGATTAATGTCTTAAAGAGTGAATCATTTCAAATGTAGGCAACTTTAGGACACTAGAAAACAGATTTTAAGGAATATGTATGTGTAATATAACATATATATTAATCTCTGTTCTTACTGTTCTTCTCCTCTTTTCTTCCCAGTCTGAATCGGAGGACTTTGTCTCTCAGACAGTGAGACAGACGCTCAGCGGTCCAGAGGAGAGCCGGCCAGCCGGCGGCCATGTTGGTGAAAACTGTGGGCGTCTGCAGATGACGGAGGATCCTCTGGGTCTCCTTTGGGCCAAAGGGTTTGGTGGAGGCGGGGTCCGCCATGACCTGCAGAAAACACTGATGAGTGTGTTTCATCACACAGGACGCAGACAAAGGTTAGCTGATAGATACACTGGTGTTTAAGATGGCATTACCAGACATTACTCTAGTTAAGACACGTCTTATCTCCTGTAGGACGAAGGTGAACAACAACAAAACGAAATACTTCATCAGTTCACGTGACTGTCACAGATAGTTCACTGATAAAAACACTGTTGACATGTCTGAGGACTTTACAAAGAAAGTCGATTTGTTTTTAGAAGCTTCAGAAACAGGAGGTGTTAAAAAATCTACATTATAGTAAATATGTATCAGCCAAATCAAATAGTTTACAGGATGTTCAACCTTTGTTTCTTTATAAAACATGTAATACTTGTCTTCTTTCTTTACAGGGTTTGTATGAAGGTAATAAAGTACTTTATGAATAAGAGATACGAGTTTACAGATGATCCCTGGGGCGACTGTGGCTAACTGGATAGCAGGGCCGCGCTTCAATCGCATGTCGATGTGTCCTTGAGCAAGACAGCAAAACCCCCAAAATTGCTCCCATAGCTGTGCCTACGGTGTATGAATGTGATAGAATCTGAATTGTAATTGCTTTGGATAAAAGTGTCTGCTAAATGACTGCAATGTACTGTAATGTACTGTACTCCCTCCTCTCTATAGTGGAGGTTAGTTTCTGGTGTTTTTGGTGTAACACCTACAGTTTATGGTCAGATCTCTGAGTGACACTCGTTGTCTTTTTGATTCTACACAGAACATTTTGTTGTTGTTTTGTTGTTATTTGTTTCTGAGAATAATGCAGCGAGTCTAAACGCCTCCGTTCATGCTCGGAGTGTAAACAGAAGCAGCTCTTCATAGGTTACTGTACATTTGACACATAAATGTATTGTGAGTACATTGAAGACTACTTTAAACGTGGATTTACAACACATGAACTACTTCATGTGGGATTGTACGAAGCAAACACACCTGTGAGAAGATTTTAAGCAAGAAGCAGCTCTGGCGTTGAAAGAATAAAACCGACTTATCTCATAATTTCTCTTTTTTTGTAAGTTAAATAAATAATTATTAACTTTATTTTTTTTTAGTGACTTTTTTTTGTAGTTATTTTTATTTCATTCATTTTGTTATTTATTTGTTGTTTTTTTGCAGCCGTTAATGAGCTTCCATAAACTCCTCACTGTGAAGCACTTTAATGTCAGTAACAAGCTAACTAGCTACCTAGCTAGCTCGCTTTACGTGACAGAATAAACTGAAGTGGCTAGTTTTGAGTAGCTTCATAACTTTAGGGAGCATTTGCGTGACAAGGCAACTTGGAAAGGACAAAGTTAACTTCTCTAATTGTCAAACTATCATCACCGGAGATTAGTTTCAGCTCTATTTATAAACGGTGTGCTAACTAACAAACGAGCTAACCCTCCACTGTCACGCTAGCAGCTATCCCAGGAATACTAACGTTAGCTTCGTGGAAAAGAGAAGTCTCTCTTTCATAAACAACTCACCTTTTACTCCACGCGCAGCTGAGGTTCGGGCAGGAAGTAAACAAACATCACATGACCCGCTTCCGTCTTACTTCACCCAACGCCTCACTTGTGTGAAATCGACTCCATTACGGCTCTGTGGATGCCACAACGGCCCAACTCAAGCTAATGCACCAGACGAGCCAAAATGGCAGCGAGAGCGACTACAGTTTCCTCCCTCTTCCCTATAAACTATTTCCGTTCGGGCATGCGCATAAGTACATTTAAGCGACAATAACAGAAGCTAGTATCGGTCTGTTTGTTATTTAGTGTGATCGACTGAAAGCCCGGTAAAAACGTGCGTTTAACACGGGCCGTTAAAACCGCTAACACCGTTAACACCCCCGGATTTTAACCGTTAAAATGGGCTCCGGGGGTTCGAGCACCGAGGCCGAACGAGAGCCGCTTCTCGTGCCCTCTCGCGCGGAGCCCGACAGTCCGGTTCACAGCCGGGTGTACGGGAGAAGATGGCTGGTTCTGAGCCTCTTCTCGCTGCTGGGCTTTATGCAGGGAATGGTGTGGAACTTCTGGGGGCCCATCCAGAACTCTGCGGTCCAAGCGTTCGGCTTCAGCAGCTCCGACATTGCGGTGCTGGTTCTGTGGGGCCCGGTGGGCTTCGTCCCGTGGCTGCTGTTCATGTGGCTGATGGACAAAAAGGGTGAGCTTTGGGTACACGGTGTCCTGTTAGAATATTATGACACTATTACATATATATATATATTATAATATGTATTATGGTGTTATTATGGTGTTATTGGAAAGTCTCAGCCTAAAACACATACACAAATTAGTTAAATAAAGTTTATAAAAAATAAAAGTTTAGAGATAATATAATATAAATGATGATAATAATAAGAATGTCACCTATCAACCTCAGTTTAGTTTAATTTACTTATTTTTGTACAATTTAAACAATAAAACAAACATAACAGAGATTAATAATATTGAACACATACAAAATGTAAAATAAGAGATGAAATAATATAAATGATGATAATATGAATGTCAACCCATCAACCTCAGTTAAATCCTGAAATCACATTTTAAATGAAGTTAAAATAAGAGATAATACATGTCCACCTCAGTAAACAGTGAACCCTGCTGTTATATGAATGAATGAGTAATAATAATATAATATATAAGAGTACAACATGGGACGTTTTTCTGTATTTTAGTACTTTACACTTACATACTGAAGTAGTACTCTTACTTAAAGGAGCGCTGTTAGCAACGTTAGCTTATATAAATGTACGTTGGTACATAGAGGGTGATAAGAAGCTATACATGGAGGGACTTAGGACCCAGGGGGATGTAGGTGAAGGAAACAGGAAGAGACGGAAGAGACGCCACACAAACAGCTGTTCACCGGTCGGCCGGATGGTTCTTGTGTCAAAAATGTCTGCTTAATGATAAAAAATAAAACTGCGTTAACGCGCGATACAAGAATTGAAGAATTGAAGAAACGCGATAATAACTAACTTGTCCAGTACTAGTGTGTGTGTGTGTGTGTATATATATATGTGTGTATGTATGTATGTATATATATATATATATATATATATATATATGT